AAATAACACTGGGCAACAGAATTTTTTTTTTCTCTGCTACTAGAAAACATGCAACTGTTTCTGAGTAATTTGATGATGCTGATTCAAAAACCATGTTGAAAATTACTGATCACCTGAAGTTTTTGAATTATGGTAGATTTATTCAAAATATTATTATATATATTGTGAAAATAACATTTTCTTTAATAATAACTATTTTCATTGAAAATTTCATTTAAGGATGTATAATCTGAATGCTGATAAGTTTCTTTCATGTTCACAGCATGAGCAACAGGAATCAATGGCTTAGTGTTCTAATTGTGGAAAATTACAACTTTCAGACTAACTTTAGATGAGTTGATAAAATATCTCCATTCTTGAGGATGATGTTCAGTACCTAATTATTCCATTAGTGCATTAACTCATTCAACATGGAGTTGATTGATTTGACTAACCACATGACCTCTTTGTACTCATTTAAAGTCTTCACAGATTTAGTACTTCTAACTTTCAATATAGTATGTATATCTTCACAAAATATGGCATTCTTTCAGTTAACATTATAAGTCTTTCACATACAAAAAATATATTTTTTAGTGAAGTATTTTTAATAAACTAAAATAAAGATTTGTTCCTGAATATATTGAGTATTTGTTTTGAATAGTCTGTGTGCATAGTAACTTTCACATTAAGATTAAAAATACTTTTCCTCATCTCAAAAATCTCAACCTTCCTTTGTTTAGTCCCTAAAACCACCTAAATCCATTTCAGATGTTTTTGTTTTCAGTAAAACTTTATATTCTGTCTGTTATTTTCTTCACCATATCTCAAAACAGGATCGGTCAATTTGACCATCCTTGTAACCACCAAAAAAAAGAAAGAAATCTAAATTACTCTTTTTTTCTTTCTAGAATAACTTCAAATTGTAACATGAAACTACATTTGTTTATCCTAAGCAGCTTTAAGCTTGTAACAATATACATCTATTTATAATTTTATTGTTTTATTGCCCTTTGAACCATGTCTTAACTACTATCTGTGCCATTATAAGTTGTAAATCACTTGGGGCATGTGCAGCTCACGTTATGCTATCAAATTACATTACCTACATGTTGCTCTCATGTGTGCCTCGTGAAACGTTTTTATTATGTTATTATTATTATTTATTTTACCTAATCTAATCTTAACTAACCTAAAAATATCGTTATTTTTACATTTTAGTTACTTTTATAATAATAAATAAAGAATAAACCTGAAAACAAGAAG